CCTCCCCTTTCCTCTCAACACTGTCTCTACACACCCCGACAGTCCACACCATCACGTTTTCCACCTCCACCTCCCAGTAATGTTTCCCGGAGGCGAAGCTCTCCCGGCCCAGGACACAGGGCTGACTGTCGAATCTCTCTGGGTTGTCTGGCACGCTCTGCCTGAATGGGCCGCGCTTCACACTTCTCCGGTCCTCTGACAGGAAGAGCTCGGGATGAGCGGTGTCTGGGTCCAGGACCACATCGGCTGCAGAGGAAGTCTTGGGTTTAGGCCTGGGGTCTCAGGAACCCTGGGGATTGTGTGGTTCCTGATCCCCAGAGAGGTCTCAGATATCTGCAGGGGGAATCCGCATGTAGTGGCCCCTTCCATGAAGGGCCCCTGATTACAAGCAGCTCATACCCTAAGAATTACTGCAGCTGCACTTCTGTCTCTCCAGAGACAGAAACAGCGCCCTCAGGTTGAGAAGAATCGAGGGTCTATGAAATCCAGAGAGTTCAGGAAATGAGCCAAAATTAATGGTTCCCACTTTTTTTCAGTATTCTAAGATCTGTTCCCTTTTCTATTCAAGACATTTGATCTCTGCGTCTTTCTTTAGTTAGAAACTTTCCAACTTGGCTGAAACCATCATAGAAGCTTTATCTCCTGTCGTTCCACCACACTCCCCTCAATGATCCATTAAGTGAGTCTCTCATTACACACTGTCCTGGGTGGGGAAGGACCTCTTCATTAGTCCTATAGGTTGTTTTAATGGGTGAGAACTGATTTAAGTGACTGACAAGGGCACACTTCAAAGGATAATGGAGGAGAATAATTGAGTACGAAGGAAAACTTGCTGCCTGAGGGGTTAGTGGGCAAAGTCAGGAAGACATGCTTCAATCCAGTTTTCCTTTAACCACACACGCCTGATGTCTGCCAGTACGACTTCTCCCACGTGGGAAATGCCCCAGGAGCCGGGCATCATGCAAACCGCTCCCATCTGCATGTATTCTCACTTACTCAGTCTACCTTTCTACTGCGTTAAAATGATTTTCTCCTTTCCACAACTTAATATATCCGATTGTGACAAGTTATAATTGTGTCCCAAAATGACAGTGGCAATTTTAAAACTCACCAAAGAGGAATCTGGTAAAGCGTGGATTCTGTTGCTGACAGCCACAGGTACCAAATCATAAGATGTGAAGTGCTCACTGAACGTGGGCGATTGGTTTCTCTGTGCTCTCCCACTTACTCCCCCACTCATCTGAACTCCCTCCCCTGGCAGGCTACATGCAGAGTATCAGTGCTCTCTTAGAAGGGGAAAGGTATTTCTGGCCACCTATGTGTACACCATTGCATCAGGCTTGTTAGGGACCCTCGTGGCCTCTTCCCCATGTGGGTCTTCAATGGTGCACAGTCTACACCATCCCTAGGACATACATTGCTAAGACAGCACTGTCTTCTTTCAAAATGATCCAGGATCAAAGAGCAATAGCCTCTGGAATGTAACTCTTGGGGAGGCTACTATGCTTGGGAAAACTCTGGTAATCACGCATTAAATTACTCTAAAAGAGAAAGGGTCCTGGGACATAAACTGCAGGGCTGACTGAGAGCAGCCGGGATTTCCTGACAGAAGAGCCGTGATGCATCATTGCTGGGATGCTGCTGATGAACTGACCCCCATTTCCTGCTGTCCCCATCTAGCCCTGGGTCCCCTGCTCTTCTTCTCTAAGGAGTCCTGTTAGCTGGCTAGTGGGGAGAAAGCTGAGGTCTGAGGGAACCTCAGAGGCACTCACCAGCATGTAAGAATGTCCTTCTCCATCCTGCAAGGGACAGACAGAGGTGAATGTCATGAGATGCTGCTAACTGAACAGAACACAAATTGCACATGCAGTAGTTCAGGAAAAGCTAAACTTACTCAGTTCTTCTTGAAGTTGCTCTGAAAAACAAACAAAATCATGTCTTCAACAGAAGAACTAAGAGAAACTGAGCTTGTATTAAACAATGCTGACACCATGCTTTCTATATACACCAACATCATCACCCTTCTCTTATGCCTAGGGAACTCTCAGAAACCAGCAATGATATGTGATCAGATAGCTGGGTAGTTTCAGCACATTGTTAAGACTTGTGTTTGTGCAGCCGTGTAGTGCTGCATATAGCCAGGCGCATGAATGCAATGTGTGCAGCATGGAAGAACGAAAGCTCTGAAAGATTCGTTCTCAGGACATGCGAGTCCCGAGCCCTTGCTGCTGCTGCTGCTGCTGCTGTGCATTTCCTCTCTCTCTTCCCTAAGCCGGTACCTGGCAGAGCTGTGGTCTTTCTATGACAGTGAACTGTCCTCCTACTCATTTAACTTCTTTAAAAAGTTTCTATTTTTCCACACTTTCTTTCCCAATTCCTTACGTGCAATTTCTTTTTCTTCCTGTTCAACCTCCTTCTCCCCTGACAGAAGAATCTTTTTTTCCCTTTGAAGTTTCTTGATGCAACTGATGCTCACAGCCATGAAGATGATGAAAATGGCCAGGATGACAGCCAGGGCCACCGTCCAGGGAGATGTGGCCAGGATGACAGCCAGGGCCACCATCCAGGGAGACGTGCTGGGCATAAAGGATTCTGAAAAGGCAGGCAGAAAAGTCCACTTAGTTTGAAATAGAACATCCAAGTGAGAGTGCCCTTAGGAACACACCTGAAGAGCTCCCTCAGGCACCTGCTCTGCTGGTTTCTACTTCAGAAAACTCAGACAGTGAAAGAGATGCTAGCTCACTGCTGGCTGACACCTCAGTGGCTTCCAGGCCAGGGCCCAGAGGCAGCAAAGCAGAAACATCTGGAGTCAGCATGGGAAGGACCCGGGTGCGTGAAGCTGACCCGCTGTGCTGAGTCAGCACAGCCAGCACCCGCCTCAAGCCACCATCACTCATGCCTGGAATACTGCAGTGCCCTCCTTCTTGTTCTGCCCTTACCATCAGAAGTCTGTCCTCTGCAGAGCAGCACAAATGAGATCATGTTAATTATTTGCTCAAAACCTTCCAATGCTTCCCATCTCACTCACTCTAAAAGTCAAAGTCTGTTTATGACTTGTGCTGCCGTATATAATGTGGTTGCATCACCTCTGTGAATTCATCTCCCCCTACTTCCTGAACTCACTTCATTTCAGCCATGCCAGCATCACCTCCTGGGGGTCCTGACAACTGTCAGACATGCTCCTTCCTCAGGCTCTTTCTGTATCTAGGCTGCTCAGTCCTTAAGCTTCTGATGGTTCCTTGCCTTGATTGCTCAATTTCCATCTTTACAATGAAGTCTCCTCTGACCACTCTGTAAATAATTCCGATGCTTCAGCCAGGTGCAATGGCTCACGCCTATAATCCCAGCACTTTGGGAGACCGAGGCAGGTGGATCACGAGGTCAGGAGTTCAAGACCAGCCTGGCCAACATGACAAAACCCTGTCTCTACTAAAAATACAAACATTAGCCACCTGTAATCCCAGCTACTTGGGAGGCTGAGGCAGGAGAACTGCTCAAACCTGGGGGGCAGAGGTTGCAGTGAGCCAAGACAGCAACACTGTACTCCAGCCTGGTCACCTGAGAGACACAGGGAGACTCTGTCTCAAAATAATAATTATTATTATTGTTGTTTTCTCATGCCTCACACCCCTGGGATGCTCTATTTTCTCTTTGCTTAATTTTTCCTGCATGCTCATCACCATGTGATAGAATATATAGATAATTATTTATTTAATCACTTGTTTCAATTATTTCATATATTTCTCTGACCTTTTTTTTTTTTTTTTTTTGAGATGGAGTCTCACTCTGTGGCCCAAGCTGAGTGTAGTGGCGTGATCTTGGCTCAATGTAACCTCCACCTCCCAGGTTCAAGCGATTCTCCTGCCTCAGTCTCCTGAGTAGCTGGGATTACAGGCACGTGCCACTGCACCCGACTAATTTTTGTAGTTTTAGTAGAGATGGGGTTTCACCATCTTGGCCAGGCTGGTCTTGAACTTCTGACCTCATGATCCATTCGCCTCGGCCTCCCAAAGTGCTGGGATTACAGGCATGAGCCACCACACCCAGCCACACACTCTCTCTAGAATGTGAACTCCTTGAGGATAGAAATCTTGATATATTTTGTTCAATTATTGACCCTTGATTTCCAGAACAGTCTTAAACATAAGGAATGCTTGTTCAACATTTGTTGAATACATTTATGAATATCTGTTGATAGGGAATTTCCCTAGCTCTGTCCTTTGGGAAGTCCCATAGGCAGGAAGAAATGGCTGCAGCTACAGAAATGCCAAGTGTAGGTAGTCACCCATCCACACCATTCTCCATGTTTTATGGTTGTCCTTAATATTTTACAATTGTTGCAGCATAAAGACCTAATCAAGAAAAAAAAGACCACAGTGACCCTCAGAGAAGAGGCTCCTACTCCTGTGTGTTGGGACTCTTTGATTCTCCCTTTGTGGCAAGGGGAGAGGCCTCACCTCAGCTACAGCCTCCAGCTTCTCAGAGCCCAGGACCATTCCACCCACACTGCTGCCCCACCCCCGCTCTGGACTCCATCTGTGTGCTGAGGATCCCCCATGCACTCGATGAGTCTCAGAGGGCAGAGAACTCACCTGGAATAAAAATGACACTTTCTTTCTTCTGGCCGAGCAGGGTGTTGTTGATAGAGCAGGACATGTTCCTCACGGACCTGTCTCTGATGATCACAGCTGTGGTGACCATGAAGAGGCCATCTGCATCAGGGGTGGAGACCTCCTTCAGGGCAGGCACAACTTCACCGCAGGGGTCCCTCCACACTGTAAGGGGCTCTGGGTACCACCCTCTAGATATGCACTCCAGCCGGATGCTCCCATCCTCTTGAATCTTGATTTCAATGAGGGGCTTAGAGCCAAAGCCTAGAGGGGGAGACCAGGGCTCAGCCCAAAGGCAGTGGTGTCTTAGCCCCTACTGCACCTCTTCTGTGAAGGAAGGAAGGATAGAAGAAAGAACCTTGGTTTTGGAGAACATCACGAGACAAATATGCAAAATAAATGGTGAGATCTCTAAGAGAAAGCCTCGCATTGCACACTCTTCTTTACGCTCCACCTGAAGGCACCATCACAGCACCAAACACTTGTCTGTCTGCTATAAATGCTTGCTGTGCGTTATTCTGGCAAAGACTAATTTTCTCACTTCTAGGAGGGTGTGTCCAAATTCTCAACTTGCCTATTGTGCTCCTGGGATGGTTTCTGTGCAGACCTCAATTTCCTGAAGCTCTAAAATAATACACTAATGACAGAAACCTGCCAAATTTGCATAATCTTATTTTTTCCTTTTTTTTTAAAATAGAGATGGGGTTTTGCCCTGTTGCCCAGGCTGGTCTGAAACTCCTGAGCTTGGGCAATTCACCTACCTCGATCTCCCAAAGTGCTAGGATTATAGGTATGAACCACCACACTCAGCCTTGGCAGAATCTTAAAAAACTTTGACCCAAAGTCACCAAACTAGTCACTTTTGTCTAGTTCAGGGCCTCACATCACCATGGCTATCTACCACTATAGGAGATGACTGTTTTTAGGAGAACAGACAGAGCTATCTGGCAAAGCCAATTCTTATTCTAATTCACAGTTGTTAACCTCCCAGAGGTTCCATCCATTAGACAATTTTCTTATAGTCCTATGAGAACATCAATGTATTAGAAATATCTAGATGCCTGTGGGATCCTTAAGATAACCATACTGCCTTCTCAATGTCGGAGATCAGCACCAAAAATCCTAATAATTCAGGCTCATTTAAATATATTCTACTTTACTAGAATCTTCAATAAAAGAGACTATCAGGACTGAGAGAGCAGCAAAAGCGTGGTCCTGGGAGACCCTTCAGCCACGTGTGATCATCTAAACTTCTCCTGAATAATTCCTTTGTTAAGTTTCCCAACAAATTATATCAAAGACAGGAAATTAAAGCAATCATTTAAGTCTAATGCTTTCTGCTCACTTTTTTTTTTGTCAGGAGAAGTAAAACTAGTTGTGCATTTGAAGGTTCACGCAGAAATCATAGAAATAGAAAACTATTTTCCCCTGCTCATGGTCTCAGCTGAGGAATGCTCGTGCTAATCAAGAACTGAAGAAATTAAATTAGAAAAGAAATTAAAATAGCTCAGCAAATTGGAAAACAAAGTCCTACAAAACATTCCATGGGGTTCAATACAGGTAAGCACGACACAATAGATTTAAGGGAAAAATCAACCACCAACCAATCCAACAAACAGAATACAATAAGCAAGCAAACAAAAAGTCCTACAGCAACCCAATTCAGACTGGGGAAGGCCAGACCAGGGTCAGTTTTACAGACAAAGAGTAGTGGGTCCCTGCCACATAGAAACCATTCACTATGGGGCAACACTGCAGTGCTGATGTGCACACAGTCATGACACTGGAAACCCTCCTTCCATAATATTCTGTTTGAATCACTTGTAAGGTTGCCTTTGTGAATAGCAAAGATGGGGTCTCCCACCTGTTATGATTTGTGCCCCTCTGGGAAGAACCCCATTTCCCAGTCCTTGCCTCACTGGTCTGATGGACTGAAATGCCACCAAGAATTATTCTGCACCTTAAAGACTTTTTCAGTTCTGAAGTATACTTTTTAAAGCATAATACACTAACCCCAAGACTGAGGTAATCGCTTAATGTCACCTTAACAAACTCCTGCCGGGCACGGTGGCTCACACCTGTAATCCCAGCATTTTGGGAGGCTAAGGCAGGTGGATCACAAGGTCAGGCGTTCGAGACCAGCCTGACCAACACAGTGAAACCCATCTCTAACAAAAATACAAAAATTATGTGGGTGTGGTGGCCTGTGCCTGTAATCCCAGCTACTAAGGAGGCTGAGGCAGGAGAATTGCTTGAATCCAGGAGGTGGAGGTTGCAGTGAGCCAAGATCCTGCCACTGCATCCAGCCTGGGCAACAGTGCAAGACTTCATCTCAAAACAAACAAACAAACAAAAACAAAACAAACTCCTAGAAATCCCAGTATAAATACATTTTAATGCTGAAGCCTTGCCAATTTCTTCCCAGCTAAATTCTTAGTCTTCCTTTGGAGTTAGCAGGAATTATACATAATTTTGCTTCTGTATTTAGTTGTGCTTTAATAAAATCATCTATTCACATATAAGTCATTCGTTCTGCAATCAGTATTTCAAGAAAGAAGAAAAGGTCAAGATTAACATTTATCGAAAAATCGGATTTCATATGTCGTAATTCTCTGGGCAGTTATTGATTCTAGCTGCCCCGGGACAATATTTGACAGTGTTTCCTCTCACTCTCAGAAGTGCTAAGGCAGGCATAAGACTTTCTTTTCCGAGATGAACTATCTTCCCCTGCTCATGGCCTCAGCTGAGGAATGCGTGTGCTTCTCAAGAAGTGAAGCTCATAGCTTAGCAAGGTAAACCCACTCATGTGGTCCTTGTGCAGGAAGAAGCCACTCTCCCTGTGGAAAGGGGACTCCAGACATTGGTCTGCAATGGGCCTGAAGTTAAGGAAGAAACTGTCCCCTAGAGTCACACTGTGCAAAAGTAACAAAGCAAAAGGAAGTGACGTACCTGCCACCACGAGGTGCAGGATGGCCTCATCATAGGACCTGCCTTCTTGGAAGTAACAGTGGTAGGTGCCGTTCTCCTGGGCTGTGACATTGTGTATCACCAGGGCCACGCTGCCCCTGCTGGTGTCCTTGCTCACAAAGGTGGTTCTTCCTCGGTACTCCTTCATCTGTTCCTCTGTTCTCTCTCTCCCACCCTTATACATGAACACTGCTGGGGAGAAGTGAGACCGGAACCACCGCACCTCCATGTCCTCAGCATTTTTCTCGGGGGACAGATGGCAATGTAACGTCGTGTTTTCTCCCACCATGGCCAGGATCGGAACAGCTGGCCCCACGACAGTAAACTGTGCTGTTCAACAAAGGGATGGAGTCAGACAAGGACACCAGTCACCACATCTCTAAGGCAGGAAAAGAAGCAGATATTCCAGGGACAAAAGGAAGCAGACATTCCAAGGCCACAGGGGTTTTTGGGCTGAGAACTTCTGGGGCCCAGTAGCTGTGGCTGGTCGGCAGTACCCGTCCCTGGGAGCAAGAAGTATTGAGTCTGCTCCTGCTTCATAAAGGAAACAGTGAGGAGCCCACCTGGGCACTCTCTGTCCACCCTGTGCCCCTGAGATTTTCCTCCATTCTGCAGTCTAGCGCTGTGCCTGAGTATATTGCAAATTTGAGCTGTCCAACAGGGTATCCATCCACTAGCTATTTAACAGTTACAATTGAAATGAACTCTAAGTTTGAAACACATAAAGATTATAAAGATTTAAAATTTCAACATGTCAAATATCTCATTGGTAATATTTTGCATTAACTTAGCATTTAAACATTGATATTTGATTATTTACATAAAAATATATTATTAAAATTTATTTCATATATGGTTTCACTTTTTACTTTTTTTTTGATACGGAGTTTTGTCTGTTGCCGAGGCTGGAGTGCAATGGCGCGATTTCGGCTCACTCCGACTTCCGCCTCCCAAGTTCAAACAATTGTCCTGCCTCAGCCTCCTTAGTGGCTGGGATTACAGGCTCCCACCATCATGCCCACTTAATTTTTAGTACTTTTAGTAGAGATGCGGTTTCACTATGCTGGCCAGGCTGGTCTCAAACTCCTGACCTCAGGCGATCCACCCGCCTCAGCCTCCCAAAGTGCTCGGATTACAGGCATGAGCCACGGTGCCCAGCTCAGTTTTACTTTTTAAAATAAAACATAGACTGGGCACAGGGTCTCCGCCTGTAATTGCAGAGCTTTGGAAGGCCAAAGTAGGAGGATCCTTAAAAGCCAGGAGTTTGAGGCCATCCTGGGCAAAACAGTGAGGCCGTATCTCAACAAAAAATAAAACTTGATCATGTGTGGTGGCCCTTGCTACTTGGAAGCTAAGATGCGAGGATCCATTGAACCCTAAAGTTCCAGGTTTCAGTGAGTAATGGTCTCATTCTCCATCTACTTCATTCCAGCCTGGCGACAGAGCAATATACTGCCACTTAAATAAATAAACAAATAAAGAAAATGTTAAAAAACTTTTTGAAAATTTGCTATTGTACATGCACTTGACCTTTGTCCCTGGCTGTATTTCTTTTGGACAGGGCTGGTAAATTCAGTGAGCATGCTCAGAACGAAAGGTTAAGTCGCCAATCCCACAGTCCTTTCCCTTTGCAGACTGCAGTGTTGCCGTTCCATTCCCACAGGTGACAGCAGCACGTGGCACACATTCCTACCTAAGACCAGTGCACACAGGCTGAGGAGGAGCAGGAGGGAGGCTGGCAGGGAGAAGGGCAGGGCAGCAGCAGGTTCCATGAGCACCGGGGCAGGCAGGGACCAGAGGCCTAGGGTTACAGAGGAGGAGAATCAGCCTAGGAGTCTTGGCACCTCGGTGCTGGTCGGACCCAACCTCTCCTGTCACTCAAGTAGATCTCATCAGCCCCCAACTTCAGCGAGTCCACTGCATGTGAAGGCTCAGGTATCTCCCGAGAGAGGGATTCCCTAAACATTCCATGGAATAAGCAATCAGGGCAAAGATGGAGTGGGCCGTTTCCCGCC